ACACCTACACACTGGGAGACACCTACACACTGAGAGACACCTACACACTGGGAGACACCTACACACTGGGAGACACGTACACACTTGGAGACACCTACACACTTAGAGGCACAAACACTGGGGAAACACTACATGGGGGACACCTACACCCCTGGGTGACACTACACTTGGGAGACACCTACACACTGGGAGACACCCACCACTGGGAGCACTTAACACACTGGGTACAACTACACACTGGGAACACCTACACATTGGGGACACCTAACCACTGGAAAACTTACACACTGGGAGAAATCCTACACATGGAGGGCACCTACAACTAGGAGACACCTAAAACACTGGGAGACACCTTACACACTGGAAACACCTTCACACTGGGAGACACTTAACACTGGGAAACACCTACACCTGTTAGCACCTAAACACACTGGGAAACACCTACACACAGGAAAAACCTACCACACTGGAAACACATACACACTTTGTAGACACCTAAAACACTAGGAGATACCTCCACCCCTAGGGGGACACCTACCGCTGTGAGACACCTTCACACTGGAGAAATCTACAGACTGGGAGACACCTAAACACTGGGAGACTCCTTCACACTTTGGGAAGACCCTACACACTAGGAGACACTACACACGGAGAAACCTACACACTCGGAAACCCTACACACACTGGGAGACACCTACACACTAGGGAGACACCTACACACTGGGAGACACCTTCACACTGAGAGACACCTCACACTGAGAGACACATGCACACGAGGGGACACCCACACATTTGGGGGACACCTACACACTGGGAGACACCTACACACTGGGAGACACCTACACACTGGGAGACACCTACACACTGGGAGACACCTACACACTGGGAGACACGTACACACTTGGAGACACCTACACACTTAGAGACACATACACACTGGGAAACACCTACACTGGGAGACACCTACGCACTGGGAGACACCTACACTCTGGGAGACACCTACACACTGGGAGACACCTACACACTGGGAGACACTTACACACTGGGAGACACCTACACACTAGGAAACCTCTACACACTGGGAGACACCTACACACTGGGAGGACCAAGCAGGGATAACAGGGAAGGCACTACAATGGATCAGGGAATACTTGTCAGGAAGACAGCAGCGAGTCATGGTACGTGGCGAGGTGTCAGAGTGGGCACCTGTGACCAGCGGGGTCCCACAGGGGTCAGTCCTAGGACCAGTGTTTTTTTGGGTTTTTTGTGAACGACATGAGGGAAAGGGAAATAGACTTGAGGTGTTTCCCCGTTTTTCAAAATGACGTGAAGTTGAAAGAGAAGAATTCACTCGATCGGAAAACCGGCAGAACTACAAAAAGGGGTCTGGGCAGGCTTTCAGACCCGGTCCAGCCCCTTGGTTTCCCGGAAATTCAATTTCCCCCCAAGTGCAAAAAATCAAGAAGATTGGGGAAGGGCCCAAAAAAGGGGCCCCAGCGGGGTACAGTCTAGGGGGCCGGGGACTACAAAAATCACTCAAGGGAAAAAAAAAAAACTTGGGGGGAGTTATAACAAACCCGGGACATCTTTTGGGAAACGCACATCAACCAAAAACTGCCCGCAGCTATGGGGGCCTAGCAAACCCAGAACAGCATTCCCCACATCTTAATTTAAAGGGTTTTTCAGGGGCCCTGTACACGGTTACGTTAGGCCCCAAATTTGGGGGGTATGCGGCACCAGTTTGGAACCCCACCCAGCCCAAACACGTGAAGAAACTAGAAAAAATGCAAAGCTAGTCCCAGAGCTAAGAGGTATGTCCTACGGGAGGGGTTTTAAGGGGAAAATAACCTGACGACACGGAGGAAGGGAGATAGGGGGGACTGTAAGACATACAAAATACTGAGGGAATTGACAAGGTGGACAAAGACAGGATTTTCCAGAGATTGGACAAAATAACGGGGGGAACCAGTTGGAAGCTGAAGACACAGATGAATCACAGGGATTTGGGAAATATTTTTCAGCCACAGAGTAGTCAGAAGTGAATAGTTTGGGAAGCGATGTGTGGAGGCAGGACCCATACTAGTTTTAAAGCAGGGGTATGATAAAAAGCTCACGGCTCGGGGAGAGTGCCCTAGTAGGTCATGAAGGGGGGGGGCGGGACCCGGGACTCGCCCCCCGCATCCTCAACTGGGGTAGTACAACTAGGTGAGTCCCCAAACCTCATGAGAGACCATAACACTGGGGGAACACCTATAACTTGGAGACACCTACTCACGGGGAGAAACTACCACTGGGAGAACCACACACGGGGGGAACACCTACACACTGAAGACCCCTACACACTGGGAGACACCTACCACACTGGGAGACAGTACCCCTTTGGGAGACCCTCACATTAGAACACATACACATGGGAAACACCAAACCTGGGGACACCTACCATGGGAACACCTACATCTGGGAGACCCCTAAACTGGGGACACCTACACACTGGGAGACACTTCACACGGGGAGACACTAACACTGGGAGAACCTACACATTGAGACCCCTACCCTGGGAGCACTTACAACTGGAGCACCTTCAAAATGGGAGACCCTAACAGGGGAGACCCTACACACTGTGAGACCCTACACACTGGAGACACCTAACACAGGGAGACATCTACAACTGGAGACCCTACACACGGGGGAGACACCTACACACTGGAGACACATACACACGGGGAGCACCTACTCATTGGAGACACCTACACACTGGGAACACCTACACATGGGAGACACCAACCTTGGAGACCCCTCCCAACCGGGAGACACTTACACACTGGGAGACACCTTCACACTGGGAGACACCTACACACTGGGAAAACCACCTACACCTGGAGACCCCCACGGAGACACCTACACACGGGAGACACTACCACGGGAAACACCTAACACTGGGGACACTCACACGTAACACTACACAGGGAAAACCCTACCCTTAGACCCTACAATGGGAGACACCCTACTCACTTGGAGACCCCCTACCACACTGGGAGACACCTACACCTGGGGCCACCTAAATTGGGAGACACCCACACTGGAGGGCACCACCATGGGAGACACCTACACACTGGGAACACCTCACCTGGGAAAAACCTTTCACATGGGAGCCCCCACCAGGGGAACACCACTGGGGCCCCCACACACTGGAGACACCTCAACGGGGAACACACACGGGGAGACACCCATCCGGGGGAACCTACACAGGGGAGACACCAAACCACGGGGAGACACCTACCACTGGGAGACACCTAACCAAACCGGGGAGACACCCACACGGGGACACCTACACACGGGGAAACACCCACTGGGAGACACCTACACATGGAGCCCCTACACACTGGGAGACACTAACACTGGAAAAAATTTTTAAAAAAAAATGTTTTTTAAAAATTCAAAGATTGTCACCCACACAACCCAAAATCAATAAAAAAAAATTTAAAATTAAGGTACACCAACGTTGGGGGTTTTGAAGAAATCGAAGAAGATTCTTTAGTTATTTCAAGTGAAACAAAATTTAATAAAATTTGCATATTGAAATTTCCCAAGTGAGAACAAGTCCATTGTTACAGGACTTATGACAAAATTAAAGAACCTTTTGAAAACATCGTGTAAGGGTTTTGGGATAACTTCCAAAATCCTCAGCGGTAAAGTTCGGTTTACACAAGTCCCAAAAATTACGACGTCCCGGGTGGTGACATTTAAATGTGTCGATTTGTAGGTAAAAACCACGAAATTTTCACCCCATTATTCATATTAATGTATTTTAATTTACCCGTTTGGACTTTTTTTTTTTTTTTATTTATGACCCATACTCTTGAGCAGGACAGTGACTCTTAAATTCCGTTGCTTGCTGGAACTTGTTGAAATGTAAAATAAAAAAACCTTTAACGTTCGAATCCCGGGGAATGACTCGTCTGACGGCTTCAATTTTCACCATGGTGGGTTTCAGGCACTGGCTCCACTGCCATTGGTTGGTACATGCTTTAAATTTTGCCAGTTTTATTTTATAAAATTTTTTATATTCATTTTTCTTTCAATAACCGTCGAATGTTTCTTAAGAAATGGCAAACTGACAAATGAAAAACAAATAAATGGCAAACTAAGAAATGGTAAACTACGAAATGGTAAACTAAGAGTTGTTCTCGATGAAATGTCTCCCAAAATTTTTATGGTCAAGAAATCTGTAATCAGCATAACAAGAAAATTCTTTGAACATCAGGTGATTATTTTTCTAGGAATGGAATGCAGATCCAGAACAGATGAAAGATGAACAGGGACAAGTAGAGACAGAAAGACTCAAAAGAGGAAACCGTACAATATTTACGTCAAGAAATGCTTATCTAGTTTTAGAATCCGGTTGTAGTAGTGGAAATTGACTTATTAATATATTTGAAACACAGGTACATTAAAATCCAAGAAGCCTTAAACCTGTAAAACCTAGTCGACAGTGATAGATAATGTCGGTCTGTCTCAACAACAACAACTAGGTGAGCACTACTAGCAGGGTTTCCACTCAATAGGTAAATACTCAAATACAGTGAGTTCTCGAGGGCGTTTAACAGATGGACATTTTACCTGGCCATCGTACCCCTGTGGTTGCTGTTGACCCGAGGATCCTGTGTCGTCCACTTGTGGGACCCGTGTCTGAATGACTCCATCCTACCCATATCACAGAACATCCAAAGATCATTTCTAATATATTTTCCTTTCTTAAATTTATTGGTATTTGGGACATTTTGTAGGGTAATAATTTATCTTTTTCACACATATATTCTTCGTGATTTTCAAGATGTTAAAGCAAATCTGGCGCATCATACGAGCCGTCCAGTTATGAATGCTGGCAAATTTTGCTAAATATTGTTTATAAGGTTACGTCTTCACTCTAAGTCGGATACTGTGTTTCGCTGCCGATTCGGATAAACCCAAGTACTTGTGCTATAAGCAGCGTAGAGACACGGGTAAGCTAGTCAGTGGCAGCCTGCTCTGTGTACTACCAACATCTCTCTGGTACTGCCGCTGAGAACAAGAAATGTTGATATCAGCTCGGGTACGTGAGACTGGTTATGTGTTCCTCTTCGTTCTCTCCGGCTCCTTCAAGCTGCCTTATCTCATCTCCTCTTCCTGTCGTTATCCTTGATTGTTGTCAAGGTAAACTGGATTAAGTTTATAGAGATAACTAGTAGTGTAGTTAAAGCTGGTGCGGAAAATAAACATGATACTCAGACGGGTTTGTCACTGCGCCAAGTGCCGAGAGATTGTTGACGGTGGCGACTCCTGCATAACTGTCGTTCTTTGCTGTAGGTGTTTCCACTACTAGAGGCCATTACCACATATGTTTTGTTGGAGAAATGTATTGCGTGGGTTAGATCTGTGCGATCCCTCTTTGTGTGAGGTGTTGTCACCGTCTCTGAGTGAAGTTTCACCCCAGGATTTAACTAAAATGTGCATCTCTTGCCTCTTCTTCCAATCTTCTGAAGATATTTTGTTAAGCACATGAAAACGCTCAGGTTATACTTCCTATTTTCACTGTGGTATTTTTTTCATTTTTGCGATCACGCTTTTTATTGTAATTTATTCCATGTTTTGTTAAACTGTGTACTACCAATCAATAATACATTAGTTACTAAACTGGGAACTGAAGTAAATTCTGAATGTATATACAATGAGAGGCTTGCATCTCTCGGTGTACATACAATGAATGAAACATGTTGGGAAGATATCTTAAATAACATGGATCCAAACCAGTTCCTTGAAATTATCAACTTCCTGGCAGCTGAAGTATGTTCTAGGCATATTCCCCCAAGAAAGAAGAAGAGCAGGAGCAAACTGGAGAAAAACGCTCCCTCTACAGAAGACGACGAAGAATCACTGAGCTCCTCAGGAACGCTAGAATATCTGATAAACGGAAGAAGGCGCTGACCAGGGAAGTGGAAACTATCGAACTTAAGTTAATGGACTCTTACAGGAACCAGGAGAGACAGGAGAAGCTTAAAGCTATTAGTGAAATTGAAAGAAATTCGAAATATTTCTTTTCATATGCCAAAAACAAGGCAAATACCACATCTTGTATCAAGCCCTTACTCAGACAGGATGGGACTTACACAGATGACAACAAGGAAATGAGTGAAATACTGAAATCTCAGTACGACTCTGTGTTTAGTGAGCCACTAATCAGTCTGAGGATCGACGACCCAAATGATTTCTTCATGAGTGAGCCTCAAAACTCCATAAATGTATGCCAGATTTTAGACATTACCCTAACTCCGAGAGACTTTGAAAAAGCCATTGACAACATGCCCATGCACTCAGCCCCAGGCCCAGACTCGTGGAACTTTGTGTTCATTAAGAACTGCAAGAAACCCCTCTCACGTGCCCTAAGTACACTATGGAGAAGGAGCTTGGACATGGGTGAAATTCCAGAAACACTTAAAACAACGGATATAGCCTCACTCCATAAAGGTGGCAGCAAAACATTAGCTAAGAACTATAGACCAATAGCTCTAACGTCCCACATCATGAAAATCTTTGAAAGAGTGCTAAGAAGCAGGATTGCAAACCACCTGGATTCCCAAAAACTGCACAATCCAGGGCAACATGGGTTCAGGGCAGGTCGCTCCTGCCTCTCAAAAATACTGGATCACTGTGATATGTCCTCGGATGCACTGGAAGAAAATCAGAATTTCGATGTAATGTACACAGACTTTGCAAAGCGTTTGGCAAGTGCGATCATGGCGTAATAGCTCACAAAATAAGTGCTAAAGGAATAACTGGCAAAGTGGAGAGATGGATCTTCAACTTTCTAACCAATCGAACACAAAGAGTAGTGGTCAACAGAGTTAAATCGGAGGTTGCCATAGTGAAGAGCTCTGTTCCACAAGGCACAGCACTCGCCCCCATCCTGTTCCTCATCCTCATATCAGACATAGACAGAGATGTAACCCACAGCACCGTGTCATCCTTTGCAGACGATACTAGGATCTGCATGAGGCTGTCATCTATTGAGGACACGGCTAACCTTCAAGAAGATATAAACAAAGTTTTCAGTGGGCAACGGAAAACAATATGATGTTCAATGAGGACAAATTCCAACTACTCCGTTATGGAAAACTGGAGGAGATAATAACTAGAACAGAGTATACTACTGACTCCGGCCATACAATAGAGATGAAAAATAATGTAAGGGACCTGGGAGTAGTAATGTCTGAGGATCTCACTTTCAAGGATCACAACAGTGCCACGATCACAAGTGCAAAGAAAATGATAGGATGGATAATGAGGACGTTCAAAACGAGAGATGCCAAGCCAATGATGATACTTCTCAAATCACTTGTTCTCTCTAGGCTGGAATACTGCTGTACATTAACATCTCCATTCAAAGCAGGTGAAATTGCAGATTTAGAGAGTGTACAGAAATCCTTTACTGCACGTATAAGTTCTGTCAAGCACCTTAACTACTGGGAACGCTTGGAAGCACTTGACTTGTACTCGTTGGAACGCAGGAGGGAGAGATATATCATAATCTACACTTGGAAAATCCTGGAAGGAATGGTCCCGAATCTGCACACACAAATCACTCCCTACGAAAGTAAGAGACTGGGCAGGCGATGCAAAATGCCCCCAATTAAAAGTAGGGGCATACACTAAGAGAAAACGCCATAAGTGTCCGGGGCCCAAGACTGTTCAACAGCCTCCCACCAAGCATAAGGGGAATTACCAATAAACCCCTGGCTGCCTTCAAGAGAGAGCTGGACAGATACCTGAAGTCAGTGCCGGATCAGCCGGAATGTGGTTCGTACGTTGGACTGCGTGCGTCCAGCAGTAACAGCCTGGTTGATCAGGCCCTGATCCACCGGGAAGCCTGGTCGTGGACCGGGCCGCGGGGGCGTTGATCCCCGGAATAACCTCCAGGTAGACTCCAGGTACACCATTCGTTTCATACTTTAGTGGAAGAGGTTAGAGGTAGGAGCGCCCTTTTCTAAAGTCGTGCTGAGTGAGGTTCGTAGATGTTGTTCTTGGGGTTTATAGGGCCACTGACAGCGTATGCCGTATCGAGCCCAGGTTCGTCGATCAAATTATATCTTTCAAGGTAACTTCGAATTGCATTCGCAGTTAATGATTTTATCAGTTTTCTGGCAATCGAGGTCAGGCATTTAATTGGTCTTTAATTTGCAGTTTAGTGCCTCTCGCTTTGCAAATACGTATCGCATTTGATTTTTTCGACATAACCGGTAATGGTTTGCTAAGTCTCTCGTTACATTCTTTTAGAACCTTTGAAAACGGTTCGCCATGGCCAGGTGACTTGTTTGGTTTCTCACTATGTTCGCTCTAAAACTAACATAAGAACATAAGAACGAAGGAACACTGCAACAGGCCTACTGACCCATGCGGAGCAGGTCCATGTCCCCCCCTCCCCCCGGATTAGACCAATGACCCCCCGCCGGATTATCCCAATGACCCACCCAGTCTGGTCATCCCAACTCAAGGATGAAGCACGGCACCAGACCCAGCAGCACAAGCTAGTCAGGTCCAACTCACACCCACCCACACCCACTCACGTATTTATCTAACCTATTTTTAAAACTACACAATGTTTTAGCCTGAATAATTGTACTCGGGAGTTTGTTCCACTCATCCACAACTCTATTACCAAACCAGTGTTTTCCTATATCCTTCCTGAATCTGAATTTTTCCAACTTGAAACCATTGCTGCGAGTCCTGTCTTGGCTGGAAATTTTCAGCACGCTATTTACGTCCCCTTTATTTATTCCTGTTTTCCATTTATACACCTCGATCATATTTCCCCTAATTCTACGCCTTTCGAGAGAGTGCAGACTCAGGGCCCTCAGTTTATCCTCATATGGAAGATTTCTGATACATGGGATCATCTTTGTCATCCTTCTCTGTACATTTTCCAGAGCATTTATTTCCATTCTGTAATACGGTGACCAGAACTGAGCAGCATAGTCTAAATGAGGCCTAACCAAGGATATATAGAGTTGAAGAACAACCTGAGGACTTCTATTATTTATACTTCTAGATATGAAGCCAAGAATTCTGTTAGCTTTATTGCGAACACTAATGCACTATTGTCTTGGTTTTAGATTACTGCTAACCAGAACTCCTAAATCCTATTCGCAATCAGTAGTATTAAGATCTATATTATTTAGTTTATATGTGGCATGGTTATTTAACTGTCCAACATTTAGAACTTTGCATTTGTCAATATTAAACTGCATCTGCTACTTCTCCGACCATTGCATCAGTCTGTTCAAATCATCCTGGAGTGCTCTAGTGTTCTCATTAGAATGAATTGGACGGCCTATTTTGGTATCATCAGCAAATTTGCTTATGGCGCTATTTATTCCCTCATCTATGTAGTTTATGTAAATTGTGAACAACAACGGCCCCAACACTGACCCCTGAGGAACACCGCTTGTGACGTGCCCCCATTCTGATTTCTCCCCATTTATGCAAACTCTCTACTGTCTATTTGTCAGCCATGCCTCTACCCAGGAAAAAATTTCTCCTCCTATTCCGTGTGTCTTAATACAGGTGCTCTAATACAGGCGCTGTATTACCCTAATGGGCTTAGCACTTCTTAAATTAATAATAATAATAATAATAATAATAATAATAATAATAATAATAATAATAATAATAATAATAATAATAATAATAATAATAATAATATAATATTATTATTATTATATATTATTATTATTATTATTATTATTATTATTATTATTATTATTATTATTATTATTATTATAAACGTAATATTAATTATAATTATAATTACAAAAGAATAATAATAATCACAATAATAATCATAATAATAATAATAATGATGCTCATAATAATTATAATAATAACAATCTTGCTGGTGTGATCAACAGAGCACTGCCATACTTCTGGTACTGCTGGCAGCGACGGTGGTGGGGAAAACTCCGGCAAGCCAACAACAGAAGGAGGATGAAGACCTCACTTTTGACCTCCTTCAGGAGCCCGCAAAAATCGATTCTGTTGAGAATGACCTGGTTCTTGACCTCCTCCTTGACCCCCTAGCGGATGACTCAGTGGTGGATGACCCGTTGGTGGATGGCCCCATTGAGGATGACCCCGTAGTGGCTGACCCCGTAGAGGATGACCCCGTGGAGACAGACTCCTTTGCACCCGCGGAAAGTCAACAGGTTTCCATAGAAGGTGAGTTTGACCTCTACTAGAAAGAAAGAGAGAGAGAGAGAGAGAGAGAGAGAGAAGAGAGAGAGAGAGAGAGAGAGAGAGAGAGAGAGAGAGAGAGAGAGAGAGAGAGAGAGAGAGAGAGAGAGAAGGCAATAACTGAAAAACTCAGACGAGAAAACAATCACGAGACACAGTACCCAACACTAAAAACCTATATTCTTAGCCCTGGCGAGAAGATCACATCACTAGGCAGCACTGCTTCGGCAAGACTTGGCTACCACCACCCATAGCACACATACATACACACACTGTATGTTGTCAGGCAGTGGAATAGCTTAGAAAGTGACGTAATGGAGGCGGGAACCATACATAGTTTTAAGATGAGGTTTGATAAAGCTCATGGAGCAGGTAGACAGAGGACCTAGTAGCAATCAGTAAAGAGGCGGGGCCAGGAGCTATGAATCGACCCCTGCAACCACAAATAGGTGAGTAAACTCAGAGCACTTCGCTATGTAGCACCGCATTATCAACACTTGGCTACTATCATCCATACCACATAAACACAAAGCGCTAATTCACCAAACTTGGCAAGAACTTCCCACAACGCGCCCAGAGCACAGCATTTTTAAATGAATGTTATAGCCATATCCATAATTTTTAGAGGGGTGAACTGGTAAGCCAGCAGAAGGTCTCGGTGAGGTGACCAAAAGCTCCAGCTGTGCGTCATCCTATGACTAAGATCCGCGTCAAGGAACACTTGTTCTGTTTCCTGACAAACGTTACCAGCCAACATTTTTAGTGTACCATTGCCTAATAGAATAGAATTTCCTGTCGCTGTCCCTGTATCATTTCAGATGTTAATGTAAATATTTGTATTGGAAACCTCGTTGATGATGCTAAAACACACACACACACACACACACACACACACACACACACACACACACACACACACACACACACACACACACACACACACTAAACTATAGACCTGTGTCATTGACGTGTATAGTATGCAAAATTATGGAGAAGATTATCAGGAGGAGAGTGGTGGAGCACCTGGAACGGAACAGGAGTATAAATGCCAACCAGCACGGATTCACGGAAGGCAAATCCTGTGTCACAAACCTTCTGGAGTTTTATGATAAAATAACAGAAGTAAGACAAGAGAGAGAGGGGTGGGTTGATTGCATCTTCTTGGACTGCAAGAAGGCCTTTGACACAGTTCCTCACAAGAGATTAGTGCAGAAGCTAGAGCATCAGGCGCATATAACAGGAAGGGCACTGCAATGGATCAGAGAATACCTGACAGGGAGGCAACAACGAGTCATGGTACGTAATGATGTATCACAGTGGGCACCTGTGACGAGCGGGGTCCTACAGGGGTCGGTCCTGGGACCAGTGCTATTTTTGGTATATGTGAACGACATGACGGAAGGGTTAGACTCAGAAGTGTCCCTGTTTGCAGATGATGTGAAGTTAATGAGGAGAATTAAATCTGATGAGGACCCGGCAGGACTTCAAAGAGACCTGGACAGACTGGACACCTGGTCCAGCAAATGGCTTCTCGAATTTAATCCTGCCAAATGCAAAGTCATGAAGATAGGGGAAGGGCACAGAAGACCACAGACAGAGTATAGGCTAGGTGGCCAAAGACTGCAAACCTCACTCAAGGAGAAAGATCTTGGGGTGAGTATAACACCGAGCATGTCTCCGGAAGCACACATCAATCAGATAACTGCTGCAGCTTATGGGCGCCTGGCAAACCTGAGAACAGCATTCCGATACCTTAGTAAGGAATCATTCAAGACACTGTACACCGTGTATGTCAGGCCATACTGGAGTATGCAGCACCTCTTTGGAACCCGCACTTGATAAAGCACGTCAAGAAACTAGAGAAAGTACAAAGGTTTGCAACAAGGTTAGTTCCAGAGCTAAGGGGAATGTCCTATGAAGAAAGATTAAGGGAAATCGGCCTGACGACACTGGAGGACAGGAGGGTCAGGGGAGACATGATAACGACATATAAAATACTGCGTGGAATAGACAAGGTGGACAAGGACAGGATGTTCCAGGGAGGGGACACAGAAACAAGAGGCCACAATTGGAAGTTGAAGACACAGATGAGTCAGAGAGATATTAGGAAGTATTTCTTCAGTCATAGAGTTGTAAGGCAGTGGAATAGCCTAGAAAATGACGTAGTGGAGGCAGGAACCATACACAGTTTTAAGACGAGGTTTGATAAAGCTCATGGAGCGGGGAGAGAGAGGGCCTAGTAGCAACCGGTGAAGAGGCGGGGCCAGGAGCTAGGACTCGACCCCTGCAACCACAAATAGGTGAGTACAAATAGGTGAGGTGAGTAAACACACACACACACACACACACACACACACACACACACACACACACACACACATTACTGAGACGTGGTTTAATTCAAAAAGTCGGGACATGCCTGCAGAATGTCACATTCAGGGTTGGTCAAATGTTTGTTAGTGGGATGAATTGTAAAGGACCTGCCTAGTATGGGCCAACAGGCCTGCTGCAGTGTTCCTCCTTTCTTATGTTCTTATGTTCTTATAACAAAATCTAAACTAATATTTACCCTGTTAATGTAGAGATAATACTGTACAAATTTTTTTGGATACCCATCGTTTTTAAAAGTTAAAGACAGAAATGTCTGACTGACCTTTTTATCAACGTTCAGGATTTTCTTGCAGAGAAAAACAGTGTGAAAGAAACACACGTAAGAAATTGAATAAAGAAAGAAGTGAGAAAGGAAAAAGCGTTAATTTCTCCCACAGAGTAACAAGGTTGTACCGACTTATTAAATGGTTTCTCAAAGAAACGATCGTAGAACAAATGGTTCCTCGCTAAAGGAAATGGAAGATAAAGGAGAAACATTTTTCTGAAGGTTTTATATTCAGATGCAGATGAGTGATGTCAGAGAGACTTACCTTTGATCTACCTTTGATGGGTATCGACATTTTTTGTAAGTTCTGAGCGCGGTCCTGAGCCAGAGTTATCTGCTGCTTGAAGAGTGAGAGACTTGTGCAACAGTTGGGTATCTTGATTACTGACTGAAACCTTTCGCCGGCACATTAGGCTTCTTCAGTCAAATGCCGAGGCAGCAGGCGTGGAAGCTAAGTAAAGTTGATGTAATCAGTCCATCAATCTTAGAGAAATAGTTCTTAAGGCGGCCAGTCCCTCCAAGGTTGATGGACTGATTACATCAGTCCATCAACCTGTATTTGACAGTATTTGACTGAATTTGACTGAAAAAAGCCCACTGTATAGACGAAACGTTTCAATCAACAATAAAAATGCCATACTCCTCTTACTCCTAACTTACTCCTAACTAGTCAGTATTATATACCATTTTGAACTTATCTGGTGCTTGCCTGATCAACCAGGCTCTTGCTGCTGATGGCCTGTTGGCCCACATATAATCACAGCCTGGTTGGTCAGCCACTTGCAGGAGGTAAGTGCCAAGATTCCTCTTGAAATTTTCTGAACTTCTTTCAAAAGTATTTATTAAAAAATATACAAAACATCCGATCATATAAATGAAATAATGAAAAACCACATACAGCTCCAGCGAATTTTAAAATGGTTTTTAAATTTATGGAGAAATGTTGAAAAAAAGGATTTTCACGGCAGAGATTAAATAAAATATGAAATTCGCGTTGTTCACGCTCCTAAATAACGTTAATTTGTTAGATACGAACGACAGATGAACAGCAGATTATCTTCCTGAGTGGAAAATATGAGACAGAATTAGGTTAGGTTACGTTAGGATAGGTTAGGTTAGGTTAGGTTAGGATAGGTTAGGTTAGGTAAAGTTAGGTTAGGTTAGGTTAGGTTAGGTTAGGTTAGGTTAGGTTAGGTTAGGTTAGGTTAGGTTAGGTTAGGTTAGGTTACGTTAGGTTAGGTTAGGTTAGGTTAGGTTAGGTTAGGTTAGGTTAGGCTAGGTTACGTTAGGTTACGTTAGGTTAGGTTAGGTTAGGCTAGGTTAGGTTAGGCTAGGTTAGGTTAGGATAGGATAGGTTAGGTTAGGTTAGGTTAGGTTAGGTTAGGTTAGGTTAGGTTAGGTTAGGTTAGGCTAGGTTAGGTTAGGTTAGGTTAGGTTAGGCTAGGTTAGGTTAGGTTAGGTTAGATTAGGTTAGGTTACGTTACGTTAGGTTAGGTTAGGTTAGGCTAGGTTAGGTTAGGTTAGGTTAGGTTAGGCTAGGTTAGGTTAGGTTAGGTTAGGTTAGGTTAGGTTAGGTTACGTTAGGTTACGTTAGGTTAGGTTAGGTTACGCTAGGTTAGGTTAGGTTAGGTTAGGTTAGGATAGGATAGGTTAGGTTAAGTTAGGTTAGGTTAGGTTAGGTTAGGTTAGGTTAGGTTACGTTAGGTTAGGTTAGGTTAGGTTAGGTTAGGTTAGGTTAGGTTAGGTTAGGTTAGGTTAGGATAGGATAGGTTAGGTTAAGTTAGGTTAGGTTAGGTTAGGTTAGGTTAGGTTAGGATAGGATAGGTTAGGTTAGGTTAGGTTAGGTTAGGTTAGGTTAGGTTAGGTTAGGATAGGTTAGGTTAAGTTAGGTTAGGTTAGGTTAGGATAGGTTAGGTTAGGTTAGGTTAGGTTAGGTTAGGATAAGTTAGGTTAGGTTAGGTTAGGTTAGGTTAGGTTAGGTTAGGTTAGGTTAGGATAGGATAGGTTAGGTTAAGTTAGGTTAGGTTAGGTTAGGTTAGGTTAGGTTAGGTTAGGTTAGGATAGGTTAGGTTAGGTTAGGTTAGGTTAGGTTAGGTTAGGATAGGTTAGGTTAGGTTAGGTTAGGTTAGGATAGGCTACGTTAGGTTAGGTTAGGTTAGGTTAGGTTAGGTTAGGTTAGGATAGGTTAGGTTAGATTAGGTTAGCTTAGGTTAGGTTAGGCTAGGTTAGGTTAGGTTAGGTTAGGTTAGGATAGGCTACGTTAGGTTAGGTTAGGTTAGGTTAGGTTAGGTTAGGGTAGGTTAGATTAGGTTAGGTTAGGTTAGGTTAG